TATTTCCCTTTCCCTATGTCATGACCAACTATACATACAAAGCCACTTGCACAAACAAAGCCACTTGCACAAAAAATGCAATTGCAAAAGCCTAAACAAAGTAAGAACTATTTATGTACCATTTCCACGAAGATCAACGCTTGTTAAAACGAATAAACACAGCATCAAGCCTCGACTCCAAAAGCACATCAGCTATTAAGGGAATGCCAACTTTAAGTCCTAGTCTATAAGACCTGTTTTCCAATATTAAAAAAAACAAACTCGTCACTGCCTAATGTCTCTCATTTCCCGCCTTTCGGACTGGAATCTTCGCGTGGCATTTCCGCGTCGAGTTTTGAGTAGTATTTCCTCTGTTTAATTAGTATCATTTCTGTGCATGCTGCGTAGTGCATACTGCGTGTATATGTGTGGGTGGGAGGGAGGGATGGTGTTTGTGTGTGTGTGTATGTGTGTGTGTGTGTGTGTGTGTGTGTGTGTGTGTGTGTGTGTGTGTGTGTGTGTGTGTGTGTGTGTGTGTGTGTGTGTGTGCGTGTGTGTGTGTCTGTTTGTGTGTGTTTGTGTGTGTTTGTGTGTGATTGTGTGTGTTTGTGTGTGATTGTGTTTGTTTGTGTGTGACTGTGTGTGAATGTGTGTGATTGTGTGCGATTGTGTGAGTATGTAGGTGTGTGTGTGTGTGTGTGTGTGTGTGTGTGTGTGTGTGTGTGTGTGTGTGTGTGTGTGTGTGTGTGTGTGTGTGTGTGTGTGTGTGTGTGTGTGTGTGTGTATGTGTATGTGTACTTGTATGTGTACTTGTATGTGTACTTGTATGTGTACTTGTATGTGTACTTGTACGTGTACGTGTACGTGCACGTGCTTGTGCGCGTGGGTATATGTATTGCACTGCATAGTATACATACATATACATCCATACATACACCTACCCAACCAAACCATACAAAAAACACACACATCCTGAAAACCCAAAAATCTTGCCCGCCATCAGGCTCTGTTCTCCTCCGAGCGAGCGAGCACCCGGAGCCAGGAGAGAGAGCCTGCCCCTTTACCTTTATGGCCGTGGAGTTTTTCCTCTGGCGGAGTAGTACGGCTTTCCGGAGTGCCGATTGCTGAGCCTCGTGCTGAGCTCGGTCGTATTCGTTCACCACTTCGCCCGCTGTCACGACCCAAGCACCAGCCTGCAAGCGGATACAGCTCAGAAAAGGTTTTCTTGAAGATTGAAGTGCCGTGCGTGAGCGATGTTTTTTTTATTCTGTTTTTTTATTTTTCTTTAAAGGAAGTCATGTTGATGTTTTGAATTTGTAAATATTCGTTACAAGGATAATGAATTTAAAAACACACAGCTTCAGGAAATGAATAATAAATTAAAAACATATTTCCTTCAGAAGACACAGAAACAATAAAAAAAAACATAAACGTAAAGAAGAAAGTGTACTTCGACTTTCCGTTGCGCTTTTTGCCTCGTCCGAAAAGGAAACTTTGGGGAGACTCGAAACGCCAAGCTATGTAAAATGAAAACACGGCCGCATGGACACGTATGGACACGTTACTGTATTTGCGTTTGTGTTCGTCACGCTTTATCATTCTATTCATATTGTGGCTGTTTCATCTGTTTTTATCCGTGTACGCGGGTTAGTCCAGAATTTGACGAAGGGTTATACAGGGAGCGAGTGATTGGCTAGTAAATGCAGCGGAAGTAGTGTATACATAGTGTCCAATACGAGGCGCTTAAGGAAGAGAAATATAACAATATAACGAGATTTCTTGAATAAGGAGGATATGTCTTAAAATTATGATTATACTAATACATGCTTTATATCTCCAAGAATTTAATGCTAGCGGTAATTAATCAAATAAAAAGAGAAAAAATAATACTTTTTTCCTTTTCAAAATTATACTGTAGAATCAATATATCTTATGTATTATTTATCTAATGAAACAAAAGCTGATTTACCTATTACTTCGGATACCTTATAAGAATTAAACAAATATTCTGCCAAAAATATATTCTACAAAAAATATATTCTAACATCACAGCAAAAAGAAATACTTGTTTTTATATGAAATAATAATCAACTGATACGGATTTATCTTATTCCTGATCTGATTAATTTACCAAATGATTTTTTCCTATATAATTTTTTTTTAAACCTAGATCCCAAAATAATGTATAAGATATATTTCCCCCACAAAGTACCGTACCTTAGATCTTCTACTCTAATCCTTTTATCCCTTTAATCAATTTAATGCCCACAATATCATCAATTCCCCCCCCCCCCCATGTTATCACTTACGCCGGATTTCCTATTCTTCTGCTTCTTCTCCAGCAGGGACTTCGTGGCCAACATCTGCTGCAGGAGCTCTCTGCGGGTCGGGTCGTCGCAGGCCCCCGGGTGAAGGCGGCGACGGGTGTGGCGCAGACGGACTCCTCCAGGCATGACGGCGTCGGGGGCGTCCCTAGCGCGCCCTTCGGAGTCCTCGTCCTCCTGGCTCTCTGTCTCGCAGGAGTCGCCGCTCGCTGCATCATCGTCTACACCTGAAGGAGGGCAGAAGGTGAGAGCCTGATCCATCGTCCCGGCGGTATGTCACCTAATGAAAACACTGCACGGCTAGGTACACGTGAATAAAAGCTGTGTGAAGCTCAGTGCCGTCGTCAAAGGCTTAATGGGAAGTGCAGTGACATCACAGTGAGCATGCAGGAATGGCAAACGTGACAGCATACAGTGCAATGACGGCAATTAAACTCTCATCCACAAAAAGAAACAAAGGAAAAAAAACACAAGCAAGTAGGTCAAATATGTAAATATACACATTCCATTTTCTTTAAAAAGGGACAGATTTGTAAGAAGTGTTGAACTGAACATGAAAAAAACAAACAAAGAAAACAAACAAACACATTCAGAAGATTACAGTAAAGAGGGTGAAGGAAATCGAGGAAAGAGTCCAAGTCTTCCTGGGAAAATTCCTCTTTCTCTTCCTCTTCTTCCTCTTCCTCCTCCTCCTCCTCCTCCTCCTCGCCGTCGAAGGACTCGCAACCGGACACGTCTCCTTCGGCGCCTGGGGAGGGATAATCTGACGGTCGGGAGGGGGAGAAGGTCACTCAAGAGGAAGGGCGCGACGGTGGCGACGGCAAAATAGACAGAGGGTGTTTTTTCCTGTGTGTGTGAATGAGAGAGAGAGAGAGAGAGAGAGAGAGAGAGAGAGAGAGAGAGAGAGAGAGAGAGAGAGGGAGAGAGAGAGAGAGAGAGAGAGAGAGAGAGAGAGAGAGAGAGAGAGAGAGAGAGAGAGAGAGAGAGAGAGAGAGAGAGAGAGAGAGAGAGAGTGTGTATGTGTGAATCTGTGTGTGTGTGTGTGTGTGTGTGTGTGTGTGTGTGTGTGTGTGTGTGTGTGTGTGTGTGTGTGTGTGTGTGTGTGTGTGTGTGTGTGTGTATTTGTACCATTTGCATGTGACTGTAAGTGAATATATAAAATAAAAGCAAATGAAATATGTCGCATTCATTCTCTCTAATGACAGAACAAAGAAGGGCATATAAGTTTGCTTTAAATCACGCCAAACAGCAACAAAAGAACAGCCCTGCGCAAACAAATGCACAAGATAAAACAAAAACAAAAAAAAACAATCAGTGCTTTCATGCAAAGGTGCAGGTGAGTGCGGGTGGGCAAGCAGTGTAGACAATGACGAACTGTTAGCAAAAAACAGTGCTAAGTGCTAGGGTTGTGTGGACAGATGCTACACTCTTACGTATACACCCTCACGTGCACCCTAGGTTATATTCTCTTTGTTTGTGTACCCTTATCCGTACGTCAGATCTCCTTTCACTGAATAGTGGAAAGTGCGTCACTCGCCAACGTGGGGCAATGTAAAACCTATTCAGTTATGTCTGACTTGCCGATTTCGAAAACTTGGTACAAACGTCATTTACACAATTGTGTGTGCGTGTATGTGTGTGTATGTGTGTGTGTGTGTGTGTGTGTGTGTGTGTGTGTGTGTGTGTGTGTGTGTGTGTGTGTGTGTGTGTGTGTGTGTGTGTGTGTGTGTGTGTGTGTGTGTGTGTGTGTGTGTCTATATATATATATATATATATATATATATATATATATATATATATATATATATATATATGTATATATATATATATATAATATATATATATATATATATATATATATATATATATATATATATATATATATATGTATATATATATATATATATATATATATATATATATATATATATATATATATATATATATATGTATATATATATATATATATATATATATATATATATATATATATATATATATATATATATATATATATATATATATATATATATATATATATATATATATATATATATATATATGTATATATATATGTATATGTATATTTATATGTATATGTATATGTATATGTATATGTATATGTATATGTATATGTATACATATATATATATATATATATATATATATATATATATATATATATATATATATATATATATATATATATATATATATATATATATATACATAAAAAAATATATGTATTACATAACGCATCCAAGCACCGATTTTATTGCCAATCATATAATGCATAGAGTTCAATAAGTATATCGCGAAACGTTCAGAATATTGCAGCATACTGCCCGTGTGCAAGTCATCTTGGAGGCGGAAAATAAATAAACAAAATGATAAATACTGAAACCTGATAAAGGTGAAAAGATAGACAAACTTTCTGAATTTTTAAGCAAGAGTACACTATGAATAATGCAGGTGAAGAAGGCGTAACACATACGTGTAAATATATAAACGAGTAAGCAAATACTAATATAAGAGCACATAAAACAGGCAAACACACAGGCATAAATGCATAAGTAATAAATACATATATAATAAATACATATATACACTCCAATACATAAAAAACAGGCACATATTAGCTCAACGGCTACTTCAGAACAAAACAAGATACATATATATATAAGCCTACTCATAAAC